TTTTTAAAAAGATAATTAATGCATTTATTTAGCAATTAACATTAAATTACTTAGTTATCAGCCTGTCAATTAGGTGGAGATTACCATGCAATACACTATAACCTTTTCACTTCTTCTAATCTTTCGGTTTCTATGAGTATCTGCTCCAAAATATTAATCTTTCTAATTACACCGTTTCATATTTATTCAATTATTCAAATTCAAGCCTTTTAATTTTGGCTAATTAATATTTTTTTTGGTGCAAAAGCTAATTTATATTATAGCAACGATTAAGATATTGTCAATTGAGACGGATATGTTAGAAAACATCGATATGATGTTGATTTAATTATAAATGATTTTGCATCAAAAAATGCTATAAGAAATTGCTTGTTATGATGATTTTTTTGGACAGGGACATTTATTTTTAAAATTATGCAAAGTTATTATTGTGTATCGAGACTTACTATTTAAATAATATAAATTATTTTTATTGTCTTTTATTAAAATAAATTACGTATAAAAAATTGTTTATGTAAGGGGCACTTTTATAACATTATGCCTAGGACCCCATAAATTTCCAGGAATAGGGTTGTACTACGTATCAACATATAGTCGTATATGGTCTTATTGGCTGATTGGTATGATTGTATGAGCGATAGGTATTACGAAGATAAAAAGGTGAGTACAGATACAGAAATAGTATATGGGTATAAAAATCATACTTTCCCTTGTTGATATGAATTTTGATTCAAGAATTAAATTAGAACAAAAAGAAAATTACTTAACTACAAGGGAAAGCATCATTTTTATTAGCGTCCAATTAATTTATAGAGTTAAAAAAAAATATACTTCCTCCGCTCCTAAAAGTTCGACTCACTTTGCATTTGCACGGTCTCCAATGTGCTTCTTTGACCATTAATATCTTTGGCATATATGAGTGAAAAATTATAAAAACTTGATATTTGGAAAATATAAACTAAGACGAATCTAATAACATCCACCATGATTATTAATTTCTTTTGTATAAATCACAAAAGTTGACCAAAGTTATTTTATTTTGACAACATGAATAGTGTGGTTATGATTATATATAACTCATTGTTTTTTTTGTTTACGCTAGGTTTTGGAAATAATGAAGCCTATGTTTGAGAATATGGAGAAGATACTGAAAGCTCGCAATAGCATAAGCATACCTACTTTGAGGAGTGCGTCGAAGGAAAGGTCCCCTGTTTCGAGTAATGTTGATGTCACTACTGGTTCTAGCTCTTCTATTAAGGAGCGCGAGCTGGATTCACCTAACGTGAATAGGGTTTCTCTGGATGATACATTCAGGAAGTTAGAGGATGTTGTTGATGATGGGAATACACAAATGAGGGTTTTAGATGTAATTCAGGGTGTCACCTCTTAGGTCTTGTGTTTTGAATTCTGTGGCGTTCATCATCCCAAAACTGGGAATGAATTAAGTTCAAAGGGGAAAGAGGGGGACAAGTCTAGTGACAAAGGGGAAGCTGTGCATGGTTTGGTAGTTGAAGGATACAAGACCAATAGTGAAAGCGGGGAAGAAGGGCTTGGGAAAGGATTCTCAAATGAGGGTTCACAAGTGCAACCACATGAACTTGCAGTATCACATATTTCAGAGGAAGCTGGTGATGGAGAAAAGAACTGCAATCAGAGTGACAGTAAGTGGACCTTAAAGTCGTCTTCAAAGGTAATTTCAGGAGACTACGTCGGAAATCGTAGCGCTCGGGTGTCTAAGCTTAAGGCAACTGATTTGAATCTTGTAAAGTGGATTAAATTAAACTTTGGTCTTCCGCAAGTGGAAGATGAGTGCATGCACATGGTTTTTTTCATGTTAATATTGAATGAATAATTACAGTAACTGACGTAGATGTAATTCTTTATGTGTGCTAACTTTACTATTGATTTGGAAAAAAGGTATTCAAATACTATGTCTTCATGTTACATTAAAAATGGTGTACAGATACTATACCATCCTGATACATTCCGGACTAAGATGGTATTCAAATAAGATATCATCCAAGCCCTAATTAGTGTATGTATTGATTAATTGGTGCTGATATGTTGTCTTGTTGTTGCACTAATATGATGTGTTGCATTTTTTGGTTTCAATGGTCAAACTCTCTTGGAATGTGAAAGGGAATTTGCTAATAAGAAATGTTTCCATAATATTCAGCATTGTCACCGAAGGATTGGTACGGAGTGTGTGGCTGTGTCATCAAAGTTGTATACTAAGAAATGGGGTATCAAGTATGAGGGGCACAGTGAAAGCTATATCCTGCCTTTATGGTACGATAATTTGCCTTGTGTTTCAATTGTTTTGGTACTTGTAACTTTACAATTGTCATATTTTATACTTTTGTTTATATTGCATTTTTCAGATTAAGTTGGTGACAGACATGGATGATGCTCCCACTCTTGCCAAAAAACATGGGCACCCTTTGCATGGTGTGGATGTTTTAAATTTTGTATTTTGTGTGCTCATTTGAAAGTTGTGTTGTTGTAATTAAGCGTTTTGAATTACAGATATTTGTCCCTGTTCTAATGGAGGAACATTGGTGGTGTGCTACCTTCTCCTTTAAAGAACAGAAGATATGGCTCATAAACTCGATGTACTCTAATCCTGCTAAACAACACGAAGCATTCATTCCAAAATTGGTAAAAACTCGTGTGTGTTTTACCTGAAGTGTTGTTGAAAATTGGTAATGATTGGTTACTGAATTTTGTATTCCAATGGATGTTCACAGATTAGTGCAATGAAAGTGTTGATTAACACTTATGATAAAAGTTGGGAGCAGGGTACCTTTGGAGGGTGGCCTGTTGAAAGCGTCGAAATTGTTCACTAACTAGATATGTGAGTTCACAACTATTGTTTTAACTAACCTTGTTGTGTGTAAATAGCTTATGTTTTCACTAATCTTATTGTGTCCTCTTTGTATAGTGTTAGTTGTAGGGTTATCATGCTTGCTTGCATTAGGGCAAGTACATACCCTTTTCAGACAAAGTATCAAATGGTCAGTAGATTGTATTTAGCTTATGTTTGAATTATTAGTTGACAAATGTGATAGGGATAATTTTATATGTGTAGACACCTGATCGTGTCTCCCCAAAGACGAAACCCAGTGATGAGTACTTTTCACGTCATTTGATTATCAAACGAGGTAAAATGCGAAAGAGTCTCCTGATTCCTTGGTTTTTAATAAAAAACTTCTTTCCGTTTTCGAAAATCATTCATTTCGTATCCTATTTATGAAAAACGTTCAATCCAGTTTAGTATATTCCATAATTAAGATCCAATAATTGTGTAGTTGGATGGGGCTTGAAAAGACATTTCCAACTATATATAATAAGCCCAATTCCAATGAATAATGCATGAGGAAGTTATGGCAAAAATACTAAACTGGGCCCAACCTGGTTATTACCTACGACCCAATGATCATGTGGAGGGTCCAAAGGTTAATCCCATTTCTAAATCAATAAGGATTAATTAGAACCTTCTATGAGTTTCTAAAAGATCTTAATTATCCTTTATGAAAAGATAAAGATCAAAGAATTTGAAATTTAATAAAACTCCCCTTTTTGAAAGTCCTAATTCTATTCGAAATGAAAGACATTCAAAGATGATCAGATATTATTTTTGTGCCTCATAATTTTTATCCAAATCTTATATGGTTGTATAGATCTTGAAATTACCTTTCCATAATATTTTAATATTAATACCGAGCTATAGCAAAAAAGATATGAAAGAAATACGAAACTCTATCCAAAACTGACACCCTTCCACTATTTCGGCCATATCTTTTATTATACAAAAGATTTTAATCTTATTCTAATTGGTTAAAAAGTAGAATTCAAGAGCTTTCTAATGACATATTATATATATGTCTTATTTGGACTTCCAGATCAAAAGTTATGTTAAAAACAAAATTCGCAAAAAACTATTTATATCGCGCTGCGATAGTCCTTATCTTGCCGCGTCAAAAGGAATTTTATCCCGATTCGAATTCTAACTCTTTTCTAATCATTTACGGTCTTTTTTCTCTATAAATAGGGTCGATTTCCTCCGTTTTAATCACAAACAATCATCAACAATCACCTAATTCTAATCCTCTTCTCTCTTTAAGCTAGAAGCTTGTTCTTTCTCCCTCTTTCTAAGCCTTCCCTTTTTAAAATACAATACCTCATTCACAAGTCTTAGACGCACCTAACAAAGCTCGAAGTTGCCTTCACTCTAGATGTGAAAGGTTGATAATTTCTAAGGGTTTGGTCCCAAATCCCTATTTCAATTATTTAAATTAATTGTTTGATTTAATATATTCAATGAAGTTACTACTGTGTGTATTGTTTTGATAGTAAGAGGTACGAGACAACAAAGCGAGTAATTTTATTGCTCTATATCTTTAGAAAGCATGCTTAAATTATTTTAATTCCTAGTATCATGTTAGGATGTCTTTTTATTGCTTTCTAGTATCATGTTTAGGTTGCTTCCTATTTCTTCTATCTTCACTAGTAGAAAAAACGTTATGGGAAGCGGTTCAAACCCCCTAATGGGAAGCGGTTCTGAACCGCATGGGTTTAGGGGGCTTACCAATTGCCATGTAAATGGCAAGCGGTTCAGAACCGCTTCCCATTTGGGGGGAATGGCAAGCGGTTTGGCGCCAAAACCGCTTGCCATTTGCACTTCACATAACATTATGTCCAATGCAAATGGCAAGCGGTTTTGGCACCAAACCGCTTCCCATTTGTAATTTTTTTTAAAATTTTATATATATAATAATTAATAATAATAATATTATTAGTGACCTGTTTTGATATGCACATTAATCTGTAATTTTAAAAATTATTATTATTATTATTAATATTATTATTAATTAATATTAATAATTAATAATAATTAATTAAAAATATTACAAATTTTGGAATAATAATAATTCAATAACAATAATAAATTGCATAATAATAATAACATATATAAAAAACATAAATAATGTATAGTACTAATTACAAATAAGTAATATAATGTACATATGGGTTTAATAAAAATAAAAAAGATATAGTAACTAAATATTAATTGTTCATAAAAAATAAAAAAAACTCAATCTCATTCATTATCTAACTAACACATATATATTAAATATACTACCTAGATGCCATCAAATGTCACAAAAAAAAGCCCACATGTTGCGAATTTCATCAACTTCTTCCTTTATCAAAGGGCCTTCCCTTTGAATCTTACAAACCTTTGCGAATTTTTTACATTTTTTTTCGTTTGTAATTTTTTTCAAAAACCATGCCCATAATACACTAACAAGTACGCAAAAATTACAAAAAATAGCATGAGGTGCCATGAATAGCCCAATAAATTACTCCCCGGGCTGCTTCCCATGGCTTTTGGAGGGCTCGGTTTCTTGAACGGCTGCTGCAGCTGCCTTGGGTGCTGCCTTGGCTGCTCCAGCAGCTGCCTTGTCAGCTGCCTGGTGGCTGCTGCAGCTGCCTGTGCAGCTCCCTGGTGGCTACTGCAGCTGCCTGTGCAACTCCTAGGGTGTTGTTGCAGTGGCCTGTGCAGCGGCTTGGCTGCTACTGCTACTGCTGCTGCCTGGGCAGCTGCCTAGGCTGCTACTGCTGCTGCCTGGGCAGCTGCCTAGGCTGCTGCTGCGGCTGCCTGGCAGCTATTGCAGTTTGGTGGCTGGCTGCTTGCAGCTGCCTGGCATAACCCGAGGTTGTTGCCTCTGGTGCTGTAGTTGCCTCGGGTGCTCACTTTCCCATTTTCTGCATTTTGTATCAAATGACCTAATTTGTCCTCAGAGCAGACCCATATTAACTAGTCTTGGGTGTCTAAGGTCTGTAATCGCATCAGAAGAAGGTTTTACTAAGTATTTGGACGACTTATACCCAAAATCGCCTATTAGACTTTTACTTTGCCCGATTTCTACATTTATGATCTAATGAGCTATTTCTCTATCATAACATGTCAATTACAACTAGTCATAGGTGTCTAATGTTTGAAATCATAGCAAGTTAGCATTCTACTAAGTTTTAGGACGACTTTTACCAAAAATCGCCTATTTGACTTCTAACTTGCCCGATTTCTACATTCCTTATCTAATGAACTATTTCTTTATCATAACATGTCAATTATAACTAGTCTTAGGTGTCTAATGTTTGAAATCATAGCAAGTTAGCATTCTACTAAGTTTTAGGACGGCTTTTACCCAAAATCGCCTATTTCACTACTACTTTGCCCGATTTCTACATTTCTTATCTAATGAGCTATTTCTTTATCATAACATGTCAATTATAACTAGTCTTAGGTGTCTAATGTTTGAAATCATAGCAAATTAGCATTCAACTAAGTTTTAGGACGGCTTTTACCCAAAATCGCCTATTTCACTACTACTTTGCCCGATTTCTACATTTCTTATCTAATGAGCTATTTCTTTATCATAACATGTCAATTATAAATAGTCTTAGGTGTCTAATGTTTGAAATCATAGCAAGTTAGCATTCTACTAAGTTTTAGGACGACTTTTACCCGAAATCGAACCGGAAAAAAGTAAAAACAAGTACCTCCTCAATGTGTTGGGCTTCAGTGCACCTATTGACTATGTCATGCATAAACCTCATCTCATAGAGGGCACAGTCAACGCCTTTGTCTTGTTGCGCACACTAACATGACACAAAGTTAAAATAGTTATGCATAGCCATAACTCAAGGCAATTTTATTAAATAAATCAATATATCAAGGCTTTACCTTCGCATATTTCCACGTGGGACCCGCAACCGAACGACAATTCAACTTCTTCATAACACTTCAAAAAAATAAAAAACAAACAATTTAGGAACATAGCCACTCAATCACTTAGGTGATGATACAAAACAATATATAGAAAGCGGTATGTACTTATTCAGTAGGTTATTCACTAGCAACTTCCTTGGTGGCCATATACGAGCCGAGTCAAAGTAGTAGATTGTGTTATTGGAAACACAAATCACCATAAGGCTCCAATGTAGACTACATATATATTAAAGCAAATATCAATCCATCAATTGTTATGCGTTAACATCTATACTTAACAAACAAATTAAGAGTGACATATTTAAACTTACTCCTCAAAACAAGGGGCTAATAAGAACTTGTTTCCCGCATGCATTGATTCTCTAATACCCCGCTCAAGGTAATCTATCCCATCACGAGGGTTATGCAAGAATTTGTTTACGGAGGTCTGCTCGGGGCATAACCACCCAACTGCTGCTTCACCATCGGGTTTACTAGCAAGGAGCTCCTGTAGTGACCTTCAAGAAAGTAATGTGTGCAATTAATTACTAGTTGCATTGTTTTGGTACGAAAATATCAAAAATACAATATGTTTAGAAATAGTCTCGTTAATTTACCTCATGAAAGTTTGAATGATGGAAATGTTAAGCATGGAACCGGTTAGAAATTCCGTCACATCCTCTTTAGAAATGTATGCGATCGCATCCTCATCATAGTGGAACAATGCCTTAGGCAAGTTCACTTGAATATGTGTACCCGTAGGCATCTCACTAACACGGTTGTGAAGAAAAGTACATGCTTTTGAAAGCGACCTAAGGACATTGGCTTCTACCAGTGGAGTACATGAAGGTCTCAAACTCTTTTTCGACACTTGTCCTTGTTCCATCTTCGGAGGACCTTCTTCCTTTGATTTTGGCTTCTCCACCTTCTTCCTTTTAGCGGACTGAATTTCCATAGTAATCTAGTAGCATAAAAGAACATGGTCATTGCACAAAGCACATGTTAATCTAGTTACATACAAGTAGTGTTTACTTACCCCTCCTACCAACCTTAACCGATCACGTGGCCATTGCACAAAGCTCCCGGTCGCGTCATGCAGCTTAAAAAATCATATTCCTCTCTAGGCACCGGTAGTGGTAAGTCCTCAAACCCAGCAACTATAGAATCGATCCCGACTGAGATGTAATGGGTGCTAGTATTAGACTTAAAATGGACCTTGTCAAAAGGTTGTGCACTACCATACCCCACCAACTGCAACTGTCCACCGGTGTTTTCCCCGGGGTGAAGAAGCTCACAAGGCGTCTCTTCCTACATATTTGGTTAGGAGTTAGGACATAAGTTATGAAATAACAAACGAAAGCCTAACATAAGAAAAGCTGATTACGTAGTGAAGTTCACCTTAACATCTGGGAAAGGTTCAGGCATCGGAGTTGCTCTCTTCATTGACTCTGCATCCATAGGACTAGGATCCTGCAAAAGTAAAATAATTAAACATGCAAACGACCTCATTAGACGAACTTCATATGACGTAATTCGTCCTTGTACTAAAATTACCTCTCTCTCAACTACTAGATCGTCCTCGGGGCCTCCTGGGTGACTACATGAGTCTACTGGGGTACTCGAGGGAAATGGCAAAGGCGGCAAGTTCATGTGCTTCAGAATGGCATTGAATTGACTTTGCATCTGTTCTTGCAGCTCCGCGCGTATCTCCGCCTTAATTGATTCCTTTTCCTTCTCATCAATCCGATGTGGCGAATTAACACTTGATCTGCTTTTTGCTGATTTGGTGTATTCTGAACCCATCACCTTCTCCCACCCTAGTTGTTTCCCGCCAAAACCAATTACTCGCCCAGGGTGGTATGGTTTTCCCAAAGCTAAGGTGAAAGGAAAATGTTCGATGCTTGGAGTCAGCTTGCCTTCAATTACTTCCGAAGTATGCTCGAGCTTTAACAACACAAAAATTTATCAGATCTAAGTACAATGTACTTGACAAGGAAATATAATTAATAAGTAGAAAAATTTGCTTACAAGTGCATCTGCTACTACTTTCTTATCCGGTTGCATGACATACTTGCTGGTTTCCTTGTCCATCCCATGCATAGCACACCACCAGTCAATTACACGATTAACCAAAGGTGTGACCGTGGAAGAAAGTGGTTTATCAGTTGATGACATTATGGATTTGGGGTATAGACCCGCTTTGACCCACTTTGGTCTTGACTCCGCAAAGGTCTTACAACCCATATGATGGCTATAAAATTTCTTTCCGGCATTAATTCTAGCTTGTTCGCTTTTTTCCTACACATTCAGAAATATATGTTAGCATCAGTCATTGTAAGAAACTAAATATGAGTAGCCGACTCTATTGATAAATAAAAACATACAAGTGCGGTCCTAGTGGAAGATTTTTCCACTAACTTCTCCCAATCATCCACTGTTATTTGTGGATATAAATCCCACGGTTTCTTATCAGGTTTTTCTTCTTCTCCATATACAGGCACATTTTTCTTTGGTCTTCTCTTTCTTCTCTTATGGATCCATCTCGTCCTCAAGTAACTCTTGAAGTTTTTGAGTCTCTCTTGTACAAAAGCTTCAAAGACTTTTCTCTTGGCCGGCTCATCAGGAATATGGAACATACTCTGTAATTGGCGCAAACATCCACGTTAGGCAAGAGAAAAAAAAATGAAAAAAAGGGAAAAAAAAACCCGGGAATCGGGCAAGGCAGCAGCCGAGGTAGCTGCAGCAGCCTAGGCAGCTGCAGCACCCAGGCAGCAGCAGCACCCAGGCAGCTGCAGCAGCCTAGGCTACTGCCCAGGCAGCTGCAGCACCCAGGCAGCAGCCCAGGCTACGGCCTGGGCAGCTGCAGCACCCAGGCTACTGCCCAGGCAGCTGCAGCACCCAGGCAGCAGCCCAGGCTACTGCCCAGGCAGCTGTAGCACCCAGGCAGCAGCCCCGGGCAGCTGCCGGCTGCAACCCTCGGGTTAGGCCCGGGGGTTGTTTTTGCAATTTTTTTTTTATTTTTTTTTGCCAAGATATATATGAATTTAAAATAAAAGTGTGATTGAAAGAAATACTTACTATAGTATCGTCCCCAAATGTTTGAAGCAACCCGTGAGGTATATCGGCAAACTCAAGTGTGATTGGTATTTTACGAGTTAGAATGCCAACTTGACTAGATTATTTGTCGCGCCATTGGCCAGTAGGTTGACCTAACTCATCAAACTCAAGAACCATAGGAACGTCGGGTTTCTTGAAAGCTTTAGTTGCACCCCTACTCCTTCTGTTCACCGGTGGCTTTACCCTTCCTCCACCACCGGTTTTTTTCACTTGGCTTTACATTTGAGTTTCACAATGTGAATCACCTACAACTTCGGTAACCACATTATCATCAATAGGTGGGGCAGTTTCAGCTATACGCTCAAATTCATCAAGCTTATGTTGGAACTCGTCATAAGCTTGGTCTTCCGGTTCCCCCATATCCGTCTCCTTATTAACATCATACAACTCGTCACCATCATCATCATCCATATCCTCATCAGAATGAAGGTTCTCATCAGGATCCATGATATGTGCACATCTACAGTAAACAAGCAAAGCATGTTGTTAGTCATCAGTAATGGCAATCAAATCTAAGGCACGAAAAAAGACAAACACTTACCCAACTTCTTTGGTTTCATAACAAATTCACATATAATCCTCTAAACAATTCATATATTTAGTTCATATTACATGCTTATACGTTGAAAATGCAAAAAAATAAAACACTTCCCGAAATAAACAAAGTTGTTGGAGCATAAGATATTTAGTAAATAAAACATGCATTAATAAAAGTACCTCATTCGTGTATTCCTTCATTGTGGTCAGATCGAATATAAGTAGCATCATCATCTACATCAGTTGCTACATCAAGTGTAGGAGCAGTGAAAGGGGGAGAATCATCAAATACATCATATTCTTCCTCGTCCTCAACCTCTCCAACCCCTAAAATTCTCCTTTTGCTAGCCAGGACGATGGACCATCTTGGATCGGACGGGTCAGTTACATAGAACACTTGCTCAGCTTGAGATGCAAGGATGAATGGTTCAAGACTATCCCGCAAGTGGCCTAGATGTACAAGAGTGAAGTCATCATTTCTCACGTTGCGCCTATTATTATCGACCCATTTACACTTAAATAGACCAACCTTGAAGTCACGGTAATCTAGTTCCCATATTTCCTGAATTCATCCATAGTATGATAATAGTGCGTCAACTGGTGATGTATCCTTCACACTTGATGAAGCTACAAGAGTGACACCACTATTTTGAGTCGATAAGGATTTCTGATCCCGACTTTCAGTCCAAAATGAGTACCCATTTATATCATATCCCTCAAATGAATGAACATCTTCCTTTGGACCATAAGCTAGCCACTTTATTGTATCAGACACAGTCTCATCCAATTGACGCATCACACGATCATGGAACCACTTCACAAACATCTTATTATGCAACTGCATTAGTGCTCTTTCCCCTTTTGATGGATATTCAACACGCAAACTATCCATGTGCTCTTCTAAATATGGGTGAACCTCCGCAATATGATGAAGCACAAATAGGTGAGCTTGCATGATTTGATCTCGAGCAGCCCATACCCTTTTTGACCTGATTGTGCCATGACCATCAAGTCTCCCTTCATGTCGGGAAGTGGGAAGCCTAATAGGTTCGGAAACGGCAACATACTCTTCCACGAAATTCCCATTCTCCTCGGACACAATTCCTTGTATCATACTGCCTTCCGGATGGGCTGGATTTCTTACTTTATCTTGCTGTGTACCCATGTGTCGTTCAAAAGGGTAGCACCACCTCATAAATACTGGACTGCAAAACTTAATCTCACGAACCAAATGCAGAATCAAATGCATCATTATGTCAAAAAGTGAAGGTGGGAAAAACATCTCAAATTTGCACAAAGTTAATTACCACAACAGTCGCCTGGAGAGCATCAAGTGTAAAGGGATCAAGAACTTTGCTGCAGATAGTATTGAAAAACCCACAGAGGCTTGTTATAACTTCTCTCACGTGCTTTGGTAAAGTATCACGAAGGCAATCGGTAGGAAAACTTGCATCATCATGTGACAATCATGGGATTTCATACTTGTCAACTTCAATTCTCCATTTAAGGAAACAAACCTTTTCATGTTTGACGAGAACCCAGATGAAAGCTTAATGTCATACAAACAAGCACAAAACCTCCGTTTTTCTTCCTTTGATAATGTGTAGCAAGCTGGAGGTAAATACACCTTTTGGTTCTTTCCTTTTCCATCACCTTTCTTCTTTGCGATACCCGTGGCCTTTTCCTTGCGCTTCCCCTTACGGTTTTGACCACCAT